CAAACATAGGGCCTACATCCAAGACCTACAGGCCGATTACTGACTGCAGTGCGCACTCTTCCGGGCGATGGATAGTTCATCCCTGGACTGAAGTACTTAAGCGTGGATGACAAACCAAATGGATAAATTATACCCAACGCACCACCAGGAAGCTCACACACTTTTACCGAGAAGTCCGTCAGATCTCACCCAGCTGACTTGCCTGGATCACACCTCCAGGTTAGACTTGTATGCAGCTTCGAGAGACAGAGCTTTTCATCTCAATGACCACATCACTTTACAGGTCCATTATAGCCAGGTCATCCATAAATCACTGCAAAAGAAGTCCCACAACCCAACAAATTACAACACACACAAGCAGACCAGCATCAGTCAATGGTATGGTAGCTTAAAGAGCTCTGTGGACTAAATAGCAAAGGCACACCCCTCCTTCGCCAGCCATCTCACTATTGTTGGTACCCAGCTGAGCAAACAAATAACCATTTCGCTACTATATGCGGGCATACCGGCAGCACAACACTCTCCTGCTTACCTACTGGCCCCCTTCCACTGACTTAGTAGAAATTTGGCGTAGCTGGACAAACTAAATTAAACAACTCTACCACCCCCCATTGACTTACCAATGAAACTTTAGGAGTTCTCCCCAGACTTGCTAAGCCCTATGTCCCATCATCAATGCTTCTCTCAGTCAAGCCAGATGCCCAACTGACTGGAAGACCTCTTTTATCCTTATCACCAGTGCCCAAGTCAACCAGCCCACAATCCTTAAATCAGCTACGACCTATTGCAATCACCCCAATACCCAGCCTAATCTGCAGAAGTTTTGTGTTCGACTGGGCTTATGCTGATGTGCAGGAGTCGTAGACCCTCAACAATTTGGCAACATAGCTTCCTCCACCCTCACTGTCTTGTCAGCTTTCTCGATTACATATACCCGCCACAGCCTAATGTCCATAAAGCCTTCAGCCGACCTCGGGCTTCGGAGAAATCTTATATACCATAATAGACTTCCTCAGTGACCGACGCCAAGCTGTACGCTTCCGAGGGGCTGTTTCCACCTTTCAGTCACTCACCTGTGGCGTCCCCCAAGGCACCAAGATGGGACCACTCTGCTTCCTTATGCTCATCAATGATGCCCTAAGAGAAACCCCTGCTCGCTGGAAATATGTCGACGACTCCACCATTGGGATCAGCGTCAACAATTCTGCTCCCAACCATACCGCCCTTCAGGATTTATTGAACAGTCTCCAAAACTGGGCCACCAACAACCATGTCACCATCAAAATATACCACATCTATGAGCAGTACATCAACCTCTCTCCGACATTGTCCCACCCTCCCTTCCCATTACTCTAGGTCCGAACACACCTGGCTAGGACTCCACGAAGCTCCCCGGCGTCACCATAGGACAACAAACTAAATTGGGAGAAACCACACGTCAGTGAAGGTTAACCTCCAGTTTCCGTTCCACCTCCTCCGCCGACTCAAGTCCCTCGGAGTTCCTGCACCCGAGCTCCTCAGTGTTTACTCAACATTCATACTTCCCAAGCTCACCTATGACTCCCCTACCTGGTCTTCCTCCCTAAATGCCACACAACGTAAACACCTAGAAAAAGTGCAAAAGAGGGCATGCAAGATTATTCTCTCCCTTTCCTACTCCACATATCAAGAAGCCCTCAACACACTGACCCTTTCGACTCTCACTGACCATCACCACGACCTCATCTGCAAATTTGGTAAGAAGCTTCTGCACCATCCTCGACACTGGCTCCTACTACCACCTGAGATCCCTAGCCCGAGAATTGCTGTTCGACACCACAACCGCATCCAGCCCATACGTGCACGAACTGATCGCTATAAGAACAGCCCAGTCCCAACCATTGTAAAAATTATCAATAACTGGTAATAAACCAGTGTATTCACTCCCAGTAAATACTACTTCTTGCACTGTCACTATGTTGAAATGAACTGTAGTTTGAGCTTTTCCCCATCTAGTTATTATATGTCTTATTTGTGTCACTTATGTTACTTGTATATTATTTGTAATTCGAAACCCATTCCCCAAATATGTAACTGTATATTTTCAGCCTTCTGGCTGCCAAGCTCTTTCAATAAACCGTTAATTATTATTATTATTATTATTATTATTAAACCACGCCTGTGTCCTATAAACCAAGCCAGTGCCCTATAAACCACACCTGTGCCCTATAAACCACACCTGTGCCCTATTAACCACGCCTATAAACCACACCTGTGCCCTATAAACCACACCTGTGTCCTATAAACCACACCTGTGTCCTATAAACCACGCCTGTACCCTACAAGCCACACCTGTGCCCTATAAACCACACCTGTGTCCTATAAACCACACCTGTGTCCTATAAACCACGCCTGTGCCCTATAAACCACACCTGTGCCCTATAAACCACACCTGTATCTATAAACCAATGCCCAGCCTAAACCACACACCTGTGTTCTCTATAAACCACACCCAGTGTCCTATAAACCACGATGCCTATAAACCACACCTGCGTTCCCATTAACCACACCTGTGTCCTATAAACCACACCCAGGTGTCCTATAAACCACGCCTGTGTTCTATAAACCACACCTGTGCCCTATAAACCACGCTCAGGTCCTATAAACCACACCTGTAAAATCCTATAAAACCACACCTGTGCCCTATAAACCACACCTGTGGCCCTATAAACCACACTCAGGTCCTATAAACCACATCTTGACCACCGAATGGGTCAAGACGTACCTGAAGGCTCCTCTCGGAGCAGCCAGGTCAACTGTTAAGTTGGCCCATACCAACTCCCTCCCCTGAACCCTCCTCCCCACCGGAATATCAACAAGTTCTCGCCAGAAGTTACAATTTCATTTAGGAAAGGAATAGAACCAGTGTTAAACAGAGGTGAACAGTGGTGAACAGTGCTTAAGTCAGTGAGAACAACTCAACAGTAACAGTCGTATCCAAGTTAACCTTCACACAGTGAGGTCCCAGGTACCCAGTGATAACGGCCCGTGATAACCAGCGATGTGTTAATCCGTCTACGATAGGAAGGCCTGGGACCAAACCTCACTCATATAACACCATCTGTGAAGGAATTACTACACCACGTGAGGCCCCCTCATAACACCATCTGTGACGGAATTACTACACCACGACAGGTCCCTCATAACACCATCTGTGAGGTAATTACACCACGTGAGGTCCCCCATAACACCATCTGTGAGGGAATTACTACACCACGTGGTCCCTCATAACACCATCTGCGAGGGAATTACTACACCACGTCAGGTCCCTCATAACACCATCTGTGACGGAATTACTACACCACGTCAGGTCCCTCATAACACCATCTGTGAGGTAATTACGCCACGTGAGGTCCCCCATAACACCATCTGTGAGGGAATTACTACACCACGTGGTCCCTCATAACACCATCTGCGAGGGAATTACTACACCACGCCAGGTCCCTCATAACACCATCTGAGGGAACCACTACATCACGTGAGGTCCCTCCTAACACCATCTGGGAGCGAGTTACTACACTACGAGTTTGCTGTTCAACACCTACATTAATCTGTTTGTTCACTGTATGTTCCTTTACCTTTCTCTAATGAAGGCTTTTGTTAAACCACCAATGTATGTAATAAGTCATTTATGTCCAATGTATATTTTCAGCCTTCGGGCTGCAGAACTTTTTCAATAAACCGTTAATTATTATTATTAAACCACACCTGTGCCCTATAAACCACGCCTGTGTCCTATAAACCACACCTGTGCCCTATAAACCACACCTTTGTCCTATAAACCACACCTGTGCTCTATAAACACTTGTGCCTATAAACCCGCCTGTAATCCTGACCACACCTGTGCCTATAAATACACTGTATCCTATAAACCACACCTGTGTCCTATAAACCACGCCTGGCCTTTTCTCTAAAGCCACACCTGTTCTCGCCACACACCGTCCTATAAACCCACCTGTGCCTATAAACCACACCTGCGTCCTATAAACCACGCCTGTGTCCTATAAACCACACCTGGCCTTCATAATATAGAATATATAAGCCACACACTGTGCCTATAAACACACCTGTGTCCTATAAACCACACCTGTGCCCTATAAACCACACCTGCGTCCTATAAACCACGCCTGTGCCCTATAAACCACACCTGTGTCCTATAAACCACGCCTGTGTTCTATAAACCACACCTGTGCCCTATAAACCACACCTGCGTCCTATAAACCACGCCTCTTGACTATACTAAATGACATATTGCCCGAGATATTTTTCCTAATCTGCCCCGCTAATTTATATAACTTATCTTAGCTGTTATTATTATTGTTGTTGTTGTTGTTGTTGTTGTCACGTCTACGCCACATTCATCACTGTTTGGTTTCCAGTAAAAAGTTCCCCAAAGACAGTCGACCATCAGAGCTCTTATGAGAAACTTTCAAGACAATATTTCAGAACGTCTTAAAAAAATATATAAATCTGAGACAAACAGACCGACACACATACTAAACAGACCGACACACATACAGACCGACACACATACAGACCGACACACATACAGACCGACACACATACTAAACAGACCACCACACATACAGACCAGGAAGAAAAATTGACCAAGACACACAAACGGTACATTAAGTTTGTAGAGATAATTATATAGCATTCAGTATAGCAAGATTCTTATTATATTATAGAAGGAAATAACCCCTATAACACTATAAGCTATAACTAGAATTGAGGCATAGAAAAGGAGAGTTCTGATGCATAGAAAAGGAGAGTTCTTACCCCACGTTATTATAGCGGTAGAGGACGGTGGCGGAGTAATACAAAGCCGATATAAAAGGAAGCCGGGAAACGTAGGGGTGGGGGGGGTAGGGGAGGTAGGGGAGGGTGGGGGGTAGGGGGAGGGGGGTAGGGGAGGGGGGGTAGGGGAGGGGGAGGGGTGGGCGGCTTATACAACACGGAGCTTACGACTGGCGGGAAAATTTAGAGGGTACTGTTGTTGGCGGATCTTGGCGTGGTGTTGGAGGTACTGTTGTTGGCTGGATCTTGGCGTGTGTTTTGGCAAGTACTGTTGTTGGCTGATCTGGTGTTGGCGGGTACTGTTGTTGGCTGGATCTGCGGTTGGCGGGTACTGTTGTTGGCTGATCTTGGCGTGGTGTGTTGCGGTACTGTTGTTGGCTGGATCTTGGCGTGGTGTTGAGGGTACTGTTGTTGGCGGATCTTGGTGGTGTTGGCGGGTACTGTTGTTGGCTGGATCTGGCGTGGTGTGTTGGCGGGTACTGTTGTTGGCTGGATCTTGGCGTGGTGTGTTGGCGGTACTGTTGTTGCTGGATCTTGGCGTGGTGTGTTGGCGGTACTGTTGTTGGCTGGATCTTGGCGTGGTGTTGGCTGGTACTGTTGTTGGCTGGATCTTGGCGTGGTGTGGTTGGCGGGTACTGTTGTTGGCGATCTTGGCGTTGTTGGCGGTACTGTTGTTGGCTGGATCTTGGCGGTGTGACGGGTACTGTTGTTGGCTGGATCTGGCGAAGTGTTGACGGGTACGTTGTTGGCTGGATCTTGGCGTGGTGTTGGCAACTGTTGTTGGCTGATCTTGGCGAAGTGTTGGCGGGTACTGTTGTTGGCTGGATCTTGGCGTGGTGTTGGCGGGTACTGTTGTTGGCTGGATCATGGTGTGTTGGCGGGTACTGTTGTTGGCTGGATCTTGGCGTGGTGTGTTGGCGGGTACTGTTGTTGGCTGGATCTTGGCGTGGTGTTGGCGGGTACTGTTGTTGGCTGGATCTTGGCGTGGTGTTGGCGGGTACTGTTGTTATCGCGGGTGTTGGCGGGTACTTGTTGGCTGATCTTGGCGTGGTGTTGGCGGGTACTGTTGTTGGCTGGATCTTGGCGGTGTTGGCGGGTACTGTTGTTGGCTGGATCTTGGCGTGGTGTTGGCGGGTACTGTTGTTGGCTGGATCTTGGCGTGGTGTTGGCGGGTACTGTTGTTGGCTGGATCTTGGCGTGGTGTTGGCGGGTACTGCTGTTGGCTGGATCTTGGCGTGGTGTTGGCGGGTACTGTTGTTGGCTGGATCTTGGCGTGGTGTTGGCGGGTACTGTTGTTGGCTGGATCTTGGCGTGGTGTTGGCGGGTACTGTTGTTGGCTGGATCTTGGCGTGGTGTTGGCGGGTACTGCTGTTGGCTGGACTCGGCGTGGTGTTGGGCGGTACTGTTGTTGGCTGGACTGGCGGCGGTGTACTGTTGTTGGCTGGATCTTGGCGTGGTGTTGGCGGGTACTGTTGTTGGCTGGATCTTGGCGTGGTGTTGGCGGGTACTGTTGTTGCGGATCTTGGCGTGGTGTTGGCGGTACTGTTGTTGGCTGGATCTTGGCGTGTGTTGGGGGTACTGTTGGCTGGATCTTGGCGTGGTGTTGGCGGGTACTGTTGTTGGCTGGATCTTGGCGTGGTGTTGGCGGGTACTGTTGTTGGCTGGACTGTGGCGTGGTGTTGGCGGGTACTGTTGTTGGCTGGATCTTGGCGTGGTGTGTTGGAGGGTACTGTTGTTGGCGGATCTTGGCGTAGTGTTGGCGGTACTGTTGTTGGCTGGATCTGGCGGTGTGTTGACGGTACTGTTGTTGGCTGGATCTTGGCGTGAAGTGTTGGCGGGTACTGTTGTTGGCTGGATCTTGGCGTGAGTGTTGGCGGGTACTGTTGTTGGCTGGATCTTGGCGTGAAGTGTTGGCGGGTACTTTGTTGCGGATCTTGGCGTGGTGTTGGCGGGTACTGTTGTTGGCTGATCTTGGCGTGAAGTGTTGGCGGGTACTGTTGTTGGCTGGATCTTGGCGAAGTGTTGGCGGGTACTGTTGTTGGCTGGATCTTGGCGTGAAGTGTTGGCGGGTACTGTTGTTGGCTGGATCTTGGCGTGTGAAGTGTTGGCGGTACTGTTGTTGGCGGATCTTGGCGAAGTGACGGGTACTGTTGTTGGCGGATCTGGCGTGAAGTGTTGGCGTACTGTTGTTGGCTGATCTTGGCGTGAAGGTGTTGACGGGTACTGTTGTTGGCTGGATCTGGCGAAGTGTTGGCGGGTACTGTTGTTGGCTGGATCTTGGCGTGAAGTGTTGGCGGGTACTGTTGTTGGCTGGATCTTGGCGGAAGTGTTGGCGGGTACTGTTGTTGGCTGGACCTGAGCGTGTATTTGCGGTACTGTTGGCTGGATCTTGGCGAAGTGTTGAGGGTACTGTTGTTGGCTGGATCTTGGCGTGGTGTTGGCGGGTACTGTTGTTGGCTGGATCTTGGCGAAGTGTTGGCGGGTACTGTTGTTGGCTGGATCTTGGCGTGGAAGTGTTGAGGGTACTGTTGTTGGCTGGATCTGGCGAAGTGTTGCGGTACTGTTGTTGGCTGGATCTTGGCGTGAAGTGTTGACGGGTACTGTTGTTGGCTGGATCTTGGCGAAGTGTTGGCGGGTACTGTTGTTGGCTGGATCTTGGCGAAGTGTTGGCGGGTACTGTTGTTGGCTGGATCTTGACGTGAAGTGTTGACGGGTACTGTTGTTGGCTGGATCTTGGCGGGAAGTGTTGGCGGGTACTGCTGTTGGCTGGATCTTGATGTGAAGTGTTGGCGGGTACTGTTGTTGGCTGGATCTTGATGTGAAGTGAACATAACAGATAAGAGGGGAAATATATGTATCATTCTTTAATTTTCAACTTCCCTCTCCCTTGTCTCTCCCTCTCTCCTTGTTTCTTCCCTCTCCCTTGTCTCCTCCCTCTCCCCTTGTCTCTCCCTCCCCTTGTCTCTCCCTCTCTCCCTTGTTTCTCCCTCTCTTCCTTGTCTCTCCCCTTCCTTGTCTCTCCCTCTCTCCCTTGTCTCTCTCTCCCCTTGTTTCTTCCCTCTCCCCTTGTCTCTCCCTCTCTCCCTTGTCTCCCTCTCTCCCCTTGTCTCTCCCTCTCCTTGTTTCTCCCTCTTCCTTGTCTCTCCCTCCTTGTCTCTCCCTCTCCCTTGTCTCTCCCTCTCCCTTGTCTCTCCCTCTCTCTCCCTTACCTCCCCTTGCCTTCCCATTGTCTAATTTCAGTTAAAGGGTTAAGTCATAGTATTCATGTTGTTTCATCGTACTCAAGGGGTTAAATCATCATACTCAAGGGGTTAAATCATCATACTCAAGGGATTAAGTCATCGTACTGAAGGTGTTAAGTCATCGTACTGAAGGGGTTAAATCATCATACTCAAGGGATTAAGTCATCATACTCAAGGGGTTAAGTCATCGTACTCAAGGGGCTAAGTCATCGTACTCAAGGGGCTAAGTCATCATACTCAAGGGGTTAAGTCATCGTACTCAAGGGGCTAAGTCATCGTACTGAAGGGGTTAAGTCATCGTACTGAAGGTGTTAAGTCATCATACTCAAGGGGTTAAATCATCGTACTCAAGGGATTAAGTCATCGTACTCAAGGGGTTAAATCATCGTACTCAAGGGATTAAGTCATCGTACTCAAGGGGTTAAATCATCGTACTCAAGGGATTAAGTCATCGTACTCAAGGGGTTAGAGACTTCCATTACGTGATCGACTAACGACCTGAGTGTAAACAATGGCCATAATATTACGTGTTTGTATAATTAATGAATACGGTCAAGAGAGAGAGAGAGAGAGAGAGAGAGAGAGAGAAGAGAAGAAGAGAACCCTAATATATACAAAAGGTTGGTTGAGGTTAAGTAGTTCCGGGCAGTTGGCGGTGAGATGATGGTGAAGATGTGGATGGTGAGGAGATGATGGTGAAGATGTGGATGGTGAGGAGATGATGGTGAAGATGTGGATGGTGAGGAGATGATGGTGAAGAGATAAGGACAATTGAGGGAGGAAGACTGAGATATAAGTTTAATTTAATCTTTCTTGGGTTTCCCTCCTCTTACCCCTCCCCTTCCTCATTTTATTTTCTCTTCCTCTCCCTTTTCCTTCTCTATCTCTTCTTCTTCTCTTATTTTCTCCCTTCTCTCCTCTCTCATTCTCCTTCCTTTCCTCTGTGGCCATCATTTTTCTTCCTCTTTTTCCTTTCTCTCCCTCCTATTCTCCTCCTCCCTCTCCCTTCCCCCCTCTCCTTTCCTTCCTTTACTCCCTCCTCCTCCCAATCTGGTTATCGAGGCCACCAGGTGTAAGGCAAAGAAGCGCATCTGACGTCATGTCCTGAGCCGTAAGGAAGTAACCAATCAGCGCGTCGTATTAAAGATGACGTCATTTACTGAGCCTTACTGAGTCAACTAAATTCCAGAGGTGTTAACAGAGACGACAGACCATGACGTCATATATTTACTAACCAATCAGGAAACAATATTACTTAAAATGGCTGAATGTGACGTCATATTCTACTTGGGAATGCTGTACAGATGCCGTAGCTACTTCACTCCTGAGCAGTTGCTTCAAGTATGTAAGGGATTCATCCGTCCTAACTTGGAGTACTGCTCTCATATCTGGGGTGGCTCTTCTTCTGTCCAACTGTTAGATAGGGTGGAATCAAAGGCATTTCGTCTTATTAACTCTCCTCCTTTAGTTGACAATCTCTCTCCCCTTTCTCTTCGCCACAATGTTGCTTCACTCTCTCTCTTTTACAGGTACTTTAACGGGCAATGTTCGGTGGATCTGGCATCCTGTGTACCGCCGGCAAGGCCGTGGGCTCGTCTTGCCCGCGGTGCCCACCGTTTCTCTGTGGATGTCGGTCACACTAGAATAACCCGTTATAATACATCCTTCTTTCCTCACACAGCCAAACTGTGGAATGCTCTGCCTTCTTCTGTGTTTCCATACTCATACAATCTGTCTCACTTTATAAAGCTGGTTTTATCCTTCATCTTCGCGGTGTAGATTAATATGATATTTTCCTTTTATATTTTAATTTCTTTTTACTCTTACTAGGCCCCGTTGTGAGTCGATGACTTGTGTCCGGGAGGGCTATTACCAGTAAACAAAACAAAAAATAATTCACCTGTGCAGTGACATCATAAGAGTGGGACCAACCAATTAGAAAGCCTTACAAGTAACCTCTACAGTGATCGTTTGTACAAACGCCCCAAAAAATTCTTTATCCCCCAAAAATTAACCACGAAAAATCATTAACCGCTAAAACCCTTAAGGACGAAAACCACGAAAGACGAACAGTAATCCTAATTAATCCAGACCACAGAACAGTACAGGTAACGGTAACTTACCTGAGGTGCGGTGTTACGGTCCCTTGATGAGCTGTTAACACGCACTTACCTGGAAAACAGATAGACAGTTAATATCACCTGTTATCCTTCCCGATGATATAAATAATATAGACAGACAGACAGACAGACAGACAGACAGACAGATAGACAGTTAATATCACCTGTTATCCTTCCCGATGATACCAATAATATAGACATACAGACAGATGCCATAAACGATTGGACGAGGGGCACAATGATGATGTGGTATATCTCGACTTTAGCAAAAACTTCGACACAGTCACCCACGAAAGACTAATACGAAAAGTGGAGGCTCATGGCATTAAAGGAGATATTCTAAAATGGATTAGTGCGTGGTTACAGGGCAGGAAACAGCGAGTGAGCATTAACGGCACTAAGTCCCATTAGAGCAACGTCACAAGTGGAGTTCCCCAAGGCTCAGTACTTGGACCATTATTATTTATTATATACATAAACGACATAGATATCGGCATAGACAGCAACATAAGTAAATTTGCTGATGACACTAAAATAGGACGTGTGATTAAATCTGAAGAGGACTCCACAAAACTACAGGACGATCTAAAAAAAAATTGCTTGATCTGAAAAACGGCAGATGAAATTTAATGTGGACAAATGTAAAGTACTCAGTTTAGGAGATGTAAACAGAAAAACCAGAGACCAGATGAACAACGTTGTTATAGAGAAATCCGACTGTGAGAAAGATTTAGGAGTAATGATAAGTAGGAATCTTAAGCCAAGTAAACAATGTGTTTTTGCTCGTGACAAGGCTAATAAAGTACTTGGGTTCATACAAAGGAGTGTTAGTTACAAGACTAGCGAGGTCATCCTAAAACTATATATTGCGCTTGTGAGACCTCACTTGGATTACGCAGTTCAGTTCTGGTCACCGTACTACAGAATGGATATAGAATCCCTAGAAAGAATTCAGAGGAGAAAGACAAGATTTATCCTGGGCATTAGGAACCTTGAGTACAGAGACAGGTTAAAGCATCATAATCTGCACTCCCTCGAGAGACGTAGAGTGGGGGACGATATGATAGAGGTGTATAAATGGAAGTCAGGGCTAAACAAAGAGGACATTACAAAGGTACTCAAACTATCCAGCCAGGAGCGAACTCGTAACAATGGTTTTAAATTAGACAAATTTAGATTTAGGCTCTAAATAGGTAAACACTGGTTTGGAAATAGAGTGGAACAAGTTACCAAATATCATCATTAACTCTAATACGCTGGATAGCTTCAAACATAGGTTGGATGGATATATGAGCGATAGGGGTTGGGTGTAAACGGGACTGCCCAATAGGTCCATTCTTATGTTCTAATGAGATAAAGAACAAAAAAGGCGCCACAAACGTACAGTAAATGCTCGTCCTCCCAACACTTCAACGTGACCATCAATCTCACCTTCCCAGCCATATTTGTCTTGCCTGCCTCCACCTGTTAAGCTAGCGTCCTGCCTCAATATCCTGACACACACCTTCACCTCCTCCCGCCTGCCTCTCCTCACGTTCCTGCTGAGCGAGTTTTTTTTTTTTTTTCTATCAAGTAAGTTAGGAATGAGTTACCTGAGCAATTAGGAATTAGGACCGAGTTACCTGAGTGATTAGGAATGATTCACTGAAGATTATGAACAGTAAATGATTATAACAGCTGCGTGAAGAACAAGTAATTGAACACAACACCTACACCAAGAACAAGCATTTGAACATTATGAACAAGGAACTGAACACAACACCTACACAAAGAACAAACATTTGAACATTATGAACAAGTAAATGAACACAACACCTACACAAAGAACAAGCATTTGAACATTATGAACAAGTAATTGAACACAACACCTACACAAAGAACAAGCATTTGAACATTATGAACAAGTAACTGAACACAACACCTACACAAAGAACAAGCATTTGAACATTATGAACAAGTAACTGAACACAACACCTACACCAAGAACAAGCATTTGAACATTATGAACAAGTAAATGAACACAACACCTACACAAAGAACAAGCATTTGAACATTATGAACAAGGTAACTGAACATAACACCGGATAAAAGTATAATTAGGCCATCATATCGCATATTCACAACACATAAGAAAGTATAATGACTCTCAAAAGTTACAAATGACATGGTCAAAAATCTGTTCATTAATGTCCTATAATACTTAAAAAAATCCTCAATTATTATAAGTACTTATTTCCTCATCTACAATAAAAAATAAATGCAAATGCTAATAGACTTCAAACAGAGAGTCGATTTTATTCAGTCTTAACAGGTAGAGTGACGTAATTAAAAAATACCTGTGGTAATTAAAAATGTTGTCAGTAGGTGTTCCGGGAGTGTGGTGAGGAGAAGTATTATTATTTATGGGTGATTGGGCAGGTGAACAAAAACAGTGCGAAGGGTATGGTTCCTATAACCCCAACCTGACCTGACTTGACCTAACCTAACCCAAACAAACCTGACCTGACTTGACCTAACCAAACCTGACCTAATCCCAAAACTAACCTGAGTGTTATAGTGTGTTGTCTGGAGCAGTAGTGTATTGCCTGAGTTATAGTGTGTTGCCCTGTTGTAGTGTCTGTGTTGGCGTGTTATAGTGTTGCCTGAGTTATAGTGTCTTGCTGGCGTGTTATAGTGTGTTGCCTGGAGTTATATGTGTTGCCTGAGTTATAGTATATGTTGCCTGAGTTATAGTATGTTGCCTGAGCAGTGTGTTGCCTGTGTGTTATAGTGTGTTGCCTGAGTTATAGTGTGTTGCCTGAGTTATAGTGTGTTGCCTGAGTGTTATAGTGTGTTGCCTGAGTGTTATAGTGTGTTGGCTGAGTTATAGTGTGTTGCCTGAGTGTTATAGTGTGTTGCCTGAGTGTTATAGTGTGTTGGCTGAGTTATAGTATGTTGCCTGAGTGTTATAGTGTCTTGCTGGAATGCTATAGTGTGTTGCCTATGTGAGACATCAACCATCGGCATGACACTGTATTGACCGGCTCCTCAGGGATCACATACAGACATTTTACAGTGATGGCAGGAGGAGCATTGAGGTGTGTGTGTGTGTGTGTGTGTGTGTGTGTGTGACTTACTGAGGTGGTCAGTCACAAAATCACTATGAATTACCTTTTCCACTTACCCTATGACCTTTGACCCCGAGATTAAAAGTTGTTTCGCCCAACCATCTGTAGAAACTCGATCAATATTAATTTATATGTATGTGGTAAATACTAACATAAACGACCAGAAAACTTTAAAAGAAAATCACGAAATGAAAAAAAAAAATCTAAAAGTAAGATAAACAATTAATAAAAAATTTCATCATCTTCAGACACGTATCATCATCATCATCATCATCATCATCATCATCATCATCATAAAAATACGGTCTAAAAAATCTTGTTCAAGAGCTCAGGACATGTTTGACTTGATAGGTAATAATAATAGAGTAACTCCGTGACCTCAAGAAATCTCGGGGTTTGTCAGCTGAGACGCCTACCATCACCTGACGGAGAGCCACCTCCACCCTCCTGCAGGGCCACACGAAGGACGGGGATGGCGTGACGACAGGAGAGGTAATGAGATGAAGGAATGCAAGATAAAATCAATGAAGGAGGCAGGAGATAATTAAACGAGGAGTGACACAGTGAGAGAGAGAGAGAGAGAGAGAGAGAGAGAGAGGGATTTGTGTTTGAAGTAAGAGGCGAGAGAGAGGGGGTGGTAGGGGATGAGTGGGAGATGAGAGAGGGAAAGAGAGATGTAGGTGC